TGACTGTAATGAATAAGAAAGGCCAATGCACGGTCATAACAGGATTTTGGTGCTTCTAATATTTTCTTATGTGATTTTACATACGTATCCTAGTTTCGATGAAACTGCGTGCCATTACTTCCGAATTCAACCCTGACTACAATTGACTATAATTTATTTTTTGTTTTTCTTTTAATTTAAAGATTTTAATTTTTAAAATATTACAAACCGAGAATATACGCCTAAGCTAGTTTTATGCTCCAATACATATACATATAAAAGAAATTTATTGCGAAAAAATATCACTTCATGTTCTCAGCCAGGAAATGGAATAAATTATATCATATTTTTTTAATCAATAGTCAAATAATAAAAATTATAAAAAGTGCTCTTTTATTAATAAAAAATTGCAATAATGAAAAAAGTTAGAACGCTAGTTAAATTCTAAAATAATGTGAAACTCTTAAATATTGATTAATAGAAATTCTTTATTTCACTTTTTTAAAAATACAAATTTTTGAAAAAAAAACTTTTTAAAATTTCTAACCTTTTTCATTGCAATTTTTTATTAATAAAAGAGCACTTTTTATAATTTTTATTATTTGACTATTGATTAAAAAAATATGATATAATTTATTCCATTTCCTGGCTGAGAACATGAAGTGATATTTTTTCGCAATAAATTTCTTTACAGATTCGTCAATAATGGTTCGTACAGATGTAGGCAAGCATTTATTTGACGTCGTGGGGGATCAGCAATTTAATACGTGATAATACGGTCCTGTTTCAATCATGGAGGGTTGCGTTGAATCCGGAAGTAATGGCACGCAGTTTAGTCGAAGCTAGAATATGTATGTAAAATCATATAATAAAATAATTGTAGCACCAAGATGGCACCTGGTATAACCGTGCATTGGCCTATCTTATTCATTGTGTGTGAAAACACTTATACGGTTGTAATAGATATATATACATTGTATGATATATTCATTTTAATAAAAGTTATGAAAGGTCAAAGTATGTTAGCTCGAGCATATCATATTAATAGTACCGTTCTAGAATTTAATTATTATAAAAGCAAAATCCTATTGTTTCATTTTACCGAATCTTCGTTTCTATATTATTCTTTTAAATAATTTTCTTTGAAATGATTATTGCAGCCAAATAGTGAAATTCTTCGGGGGAGTTTACTTACAAAACAATTGCTTACAGTTTTGTTTACACACAACCGTATTGAACACAGTGTATCGCATGACCTTTTCGCACACAATGTATTGCATACGGCAATATTACCTGGGAAAAGTATTTCATCTAAGAACATATAAATATATATGTACAAATATAAATAAATATATATACACATATAATTATACATATACAAAATGTATGTCCATATTAGTTCTTCTCTTTTGTGAAATTTCTGTTTGGTTCCAGAAAAGTAATAATAATGAGAAGACATAAAAAATAATTTTAAAATGTTTTTCGGATTATTTCTTTTATAAAAAATTATGTTTGAAGAAATGAGAAAAAATTGTTCATGTTATACATATCATATTATAAATATACATATAATCATATATGTACATATATACATATATGATTATATATGTATAAATCAATTTCTTTTTGTTCTTTAAATTTGATTTTTTGTAAAAGAAATAATACGAAAATTATTTTTAAATTACTTTTTATGTTTTATTATTATTATTAGTTTTCTTGTATCAAATAGAAGTTTTATAAAATAAAGAAATTAATATTGGCATGTATAGGCATATCTTTTGTATATAAGTATATATATTTATATATATTTATAAACAAAAAATGTTTTCCAGGTGTACACAACGCATTGAATACACGACCATATATACTGCACATACGCATTATAAAACTTTGTTTTACTTTGGAAAATTAAGAACTCATATTGTACAATTATGGATCTTGTTATATGCACTGTGTGCACCGGACGATGTTAAGGTGAACCTTGCTTAATTCAACCGCATTTTGAATAGAAAATTGCAAACCTATGTAAAAACGTGCAATTATGAATCTTCTTGATTTGCAATGTACGTATATGTGCGCAGAATAGTCATGTACACAACACGGTCATGTGTCTAATGCGTCGTGTGCAATATTGTCGTATGTGTAATGCTTTGCAGGCTTGGGAAAGTTATTTTGTAAAGGTAACTAGTTACAATTTTTTTGCTTTCAAAAAGTAACTAGTTATTATTACAAGTTATCGACTCTAAAAAGTAACATGTTACAGTTACAATTACTTAAAAAGTAACGAGTTGTTACTTTCCTTATCATAACAGAGCAACATTGAGTAACATTGAGAACATCGATTAAGACTATCAGAGAAGAAGACTGCTACGTTTAAACAATGCTTTAAAATATTTGTAATATCAAGTGGGTCTATATTGGCAAATAAATAAATTTGAAATATACATATAAAGTAATTAAGAAAGTAACTATTAAATTAGTTACTAGTTAAAAAAAAATGAAATTATATTGAGTTACAGTTATAGATGAAAAAAATTAAAGTAACGAAGTTACAGTTACTGAAAAAAAGTAATTCTAACTGTAACTTCGTTACTTCTCAGTTACTTCCCAACTCTGATATAATGCGTTGTATGCAATAAAGTCATGTGTGTGCAATGCGCTGTGTGTCCAATACGTGATTGTGTGCAAACGAAGCTACAAAGACAATCATTTTGTAAAGAAACAAAGCGTTCCCAATTCTATCTCTCTTCTATTTAAAAAATATTCGTGGAACACAAAAAAACTACACACGCTCGTGTGCATTTCAGTTGACTGCAATCCTATTTCTTTGCAGCCTTTTCCTAGGAAGAAAAAATTTCTTTTTTCTCCCATACATTTCGATCGCTTGCTAGCGCGCCACGAGCCCGCCACTTTCCATTCTCGCATCGACATGTCGATTGAAAAGTATTCAGCTCCACTGCGGAGTGCTATAGAAAGCTCGTTGTTGACTCGCGTTCCCTCTCGCCGCGCGATCAGACAATCGACGCGACTCTTGCACCGTGGCATACCGTGTCGAGAAAAACGAGAGAAACAGCGATCGATTAGCTGAAGAGGCGCATAATCATCCCGACACGGTATATCGCGATCCCGTTGAGAGACGGTTGATGTCTCAAAGCTTTAATTTACGTTCAACGGGGGGGATACATTAAATAAAAGCAGTCTTTTTTATCGCCGTTACATCGCCGACTTACGAACAACGAAAGTAAATATTACACGGCGCAGGTAATGAATCTTTTTATAGCGGCGGAAATCCTTTCCCGGCGGAAAATTCGTTTCATCTCCCTAGCGTGGCCGGATTTAAGAGTCGACAATTATTTTTGTTTGCGTTGTCCTCCTCGTATAACGTCGTAATTCGTCCGCGAATCCCGTAAGTTAAAAGGAAGAGACCTGGGCGTGTTCCCGGTGGTTTTTCTCAAGGACGATGCCGTTTCACCTCATCCTCGTCGATTTGCTGATGACGCATACAACCAATTAGATTTCTGTCTTCCTCCACCCCGTTTTTATTCTATCCCGCTGGACGAACGTTTTTTTCTTCGCCGTCGAAAGGGCCGCGAGCTCTCTCTGAAATTTTTCTGAAGTCTCACTTTGCTCGTTACTTCATCATTAAACGACCTGATTTGATTCTGGCGCTGTTTTAAATCGAACTCTCGCGAATCTCCATTGGCTTGCTGCTATCCTCCAAAGTCTACTTGAATAAAGGAGACAAAAAGAAACTTTAGAAAAGGTAAAATACGCTATTTCTTTTCTAATTCTTCCATTTTTGTAGATTCAACTTATCTTCCCAGTTTGTTTATATGCCAATTTGCCAACTACGACATTGGCCATAAATATAAATTTTTAATTTATTGTATTTTCTTGGAAAAGGCAATAATAAAAGCTAAAAAAATGAACAAAATATTATTGTTATAAAAAAATAAATATATCTTAACAATAAACTGTTTTAATTTATTTTTATTAGATATAGAACATTTACGTTAATTTATGGAGAAGCTTTATATTTATGTCCGAAGCTGTATATGCGTCAATTTTTTTTTTCTCGAGAAACGAAAAATTATTGTGAAAACTTAGCACTCTGCCATGATATACATATAAATTGCACCTGTGTGAAGTTAGCCCCCCAATGTTAAAAAATCTAAAATTTTCTTGTGGCAAACGTTTGCCCATCGTTTACCCACCAATGCCCCGTTGGAATTTTTGTTTGCCCCTCTAGTTCGAAAGTTATACGCAAATGAATTTTGTGGGGGCCAACTTCACACTGCAGGCCCCCCCTCCCCAATGTTAAAAAATCCAAAATTTTCTGCGGGTTGCGGGGTAATGCACACAAGTGGAAACCACGCTCGCTCAGCGCTCAGGGCAAACGTTTGCTGCAAGAAAATTTTGGATTTTTTAATATTGCAGGGCTAACTTCACACAAGTATAAATTGCACATTGATTTTGATATTTCAGAATTGAAAGTGTTATTATCACAAAGTTTAGAAAATCTCCATTTGCTTCACGTATTGTTTGCTAAAAAAAATCGCAAACTTGGTCGGATCTATTTTGTAATTCTACTGATGAATTGCTTACACGGGAATAGTTTTTAATTCCTGTGAACTTTCACGTACAGCCCATAAATCCCAGAATACCTCTTTATATTATAGATAAGTCAAATTCGTGTGTACAAAATCATAAAAACGTCCAATCCTAATTCCATCTCTCTCTCTTTCTCTCTCTCTCTCTTTCAGTCCTACTACTCTTGTCGTGTACTCAGAACATAGTGACCTCTCCTTGTATTTCTGCGATGTGCGCTATTATTTACACTTTTACGCAGATATACGGGATCTACAATTTAACACCGAACGGCGGCCATTTTTTTAAGAAGAGGTTCTCTTGGCAAAGATACTCTCGGTGGTTTGCCGTTGCTTTTCGAGAGGCGGCGATCGCTTCCGAA